TTGATTGATTGATTGATTGATTGATTGATTGATTGATTGATTTATAAATTGATTGCCGACCACATCGCCGATCCCGGCCTGGCCGAGCCTGGGCCCAGGATCGGTGCACGTGTCTTCCTGGCCAACAGGCTGGGACGGCCCGTGCGCAAAGCCCGGGCCCAGGATGGGCACGTTGCCAGGATGGGGTGAGGTGCCCAGAACTCCGGGGCTGTGTTTCTTCCCCCAGCGTGGGCACCTGGAGATCTGGGCCCCTTCCCGAGAGGAGGAGGAAGAGGAGGAGGAGGAGGAGGAGCAGGAGGAGCAGGAGGAGGAGGACCGACCGACGAGCCAGGACCCCTGGCCACGGGGGCCGGCCCCACGGGCAAGGCCCCCGACCGTGATGTACACCTTGCACCCGACGAGGAGCGCGGTGGCGACCACCAGCGCGACGTGAGACACGATGTGCAGGAAGGGGGGGCGGGACGGCGGGCCAGCTCGCAAAGCGGCTAGGTCCTCACCGTCTCCCGCGCACGCCCCTTCCCGTCCGGACGCGAGCGCGGCGAGCAGCTGCAGCAGGGCTCGCGCACAGCCGCCTTTGCGAGGCGCGGGGGTCCCAGCGGCCCCGGCGCGCGGCGGGGCAGGCGAGGCGCGGCGGCTGCGGCACGCGCCCGAGCCCTCGAGCCCGACGGGCGAGGGCGCCGCACGCCGCGCGGCGCAGCGCCGCCGTGGGAGCGCCAGAGCGATGAGCGAGGTAGGCCCAATCCTCCCCGCGCGGACGTCCAGGCCGCGGGGCGCTAGCCACTCGGTAGGCCCACGGACAGCAGGGCGCCGCGGCGGCGGCCGACGCCGGCGGAATCAGCATCGCGGCGGCCGCCCTGCGACCACCATGCCGAGGCGGAGGAGGAGCCGAGGGCGCGGAGGCGGGACGACGGGAGGAGGCGGCGAGGGGGCGGGGAGGCCACTCAGCGAACCAGAGCCAGATTCGACTAGGAGGAGGAGGAGGAGGAGGAGGAGGAGGAGGAGGAGGAGGAGGAGGAGGGAGGAGGAGGGGGAGGGGGAGGAGGAGGAGGAGGAGGAGGAGGAGGAGGGGGAGGGGAGGAGGAGGAGGAGAAGGACGAGGAGGAGGAGGGGGAGGGGGAGGAGGAGGAGGAGGAGGAGGAGGAGGAGGAGGAGGAGGAGGAGGAGGAGGAAAAGCAGGAGGACGAGGGAGCGCCTGGGAGCGCTTGGGGACGCCGGGGAGGGCCTGGGAACGCCTTGGAACGTGTCGGAACGCCTGGGAACGCTTGAGAACGCCTGGGAGCGTTTGGGAGCGCCTGGGGGCGCCTGGGAGCGTCTGGGAGCGCCAGGGAACGCCTGAGAACGTCCGATAACGCTTGGGAGCGCCAGCGCAACTTGTTGACACATCCCATTTTCTTGCAAACGTCCCACCTACCCACCCGCAACTTGGTTTGCAGAACCCATGCGGCGGCGATTGCGATGAGTGCTTGGCGTTGGCTGGTGCATCTCTGCGGCCGCGCCAACCCAAGCATGCGCGCGCAGCGGTTGGCTAGTTTGGCGCGGCCGACGCGGCCGCGGCGGCGCTGACCGATGGGCGCATCCCAGCGGGCACTTCAGTGCGAGTCGGCGACTTGGGCGGGCGCGGTATCATGGCAAAGTCGACAACGGTAGACGCGATGATGACAGTAGCGCAGTCGATGGTGATGTTGACAACGACGACGGCGCGGCCAGTGCAGGCGCCGATGCTGATCGCGCCGACGACGATGACGGCGTCCTCGCGTCGGCGATGAGGGTTTTAGAAGGAGTTCGGCACGCGCGCGCGGTCGACGCGCGAGAGTGGGCCGCATGGTTTTATGTGACACGGATCCTTTCCCCCCAGCACGCGCGCAGGGGCGTGTGATTGATCTCGGCCTGCGGCGCGAGAGGCCCGTTTGGCAGAATTCCACGAACATGGTGGAACACTTGTAGTGTTCTAGCGAATTCGGAGCGCGAGCGCAAGCCTTTTTGAACGCTGATGTTGCGAAACCATGTGTTGCTATGTCTATGCTTGACTTTTGACATTGCTACGAAACCGAGGGTTTTCGATGGATTTCGGCATGCGCGCGCGACGACGCGTGCGTACACTTCGTTTGATTTGTTGCCAAGGATTCGCGCTTCTCGCGGCAGCACGCGCGCAAGGGCTGTCGAACGATTTCGACATGCGAGCGATACGTTTTTTTTGGTAGCAGTTTTCTGAACATGTTGTGAAACAGATCGTTGCTTTTGATTTTATAGTTTTACTTTTTAGTAGAAAAGAATTCGCCAGCACGCGCGCACAATTTGTTTTTGAACATCCGTGTTGCGAAACCACTTGTTTTCAACATGTTTTGTGCCACTTGATTTTGGATTTCTGACGACACCAAGCGGTTTTTGAGGAAGTTCGACATGCGCGCGCGGCGGCGCGCGCGTTTGAACTTCGCTTCATCTGTTGCGCAGGATTCTTGAATTCTGATGTTTTTTGATGAACGAGTGCGCGCGCATTGATTTTCTGTTGCAGAGGATGGCGGGGTGGGGCCGGTACTGGCTCGGCTGGGATGGCATGGTTCGTATTTATGATGGACGTTTAAAGGCAAATCCGTATGTAGACTGCAATCTTCATCCTGGGGGAGGGGGGGAGCTTATTTTATAAAAGCGAAAAGTAATCGATGTGGTGCAGTGTATGTGCGGGCGGCGCGGGCGGCACGGGGCGCCGTCGGGCGGGACGGCGGCACGGGCGGCACGGGCGGCACGGGCGCCGACGGGCGGCACGGGGCGGCACGGGGCGGCACGGGGGCGAAAAACCAGCAGGCAACGCCAGATTGTTTGACCAAGTACGAAACCCTAGACTTCCGCTGTTTGCGGGACAGTACTATTAAAGAATAGTATCAATGATACTACAATGGAAGGGTCTCCAAAACGAGTACGCATTGGAATTATAATCACAAGTATACGATGATTAAGAAGACGATTGCGACGAACAAAAGTAATAGCAGTAATACGTGTATTACTGATAGTAGTGATAGTACGAATGCAATGCTAATCTTGCTAGTGTCAACCATAGTAAAACTCACAGTAATACGAATGAGGTTGCTGATGCCAATATTCGTATGACTACTGTTCATATCAGTACTTATTTAGATAATTATAGCACTGCTGCGAATAACATTACACTATCAATATCTATACTCGTAAGAATAGTATGCGTCAGAATTCGCAATAGGACAATGTATTCGAAAAATAGCAGGGACACTGCGAGCACTAACGACTAGCACTAAGAATAATCATGCGAAGAACAATAATCAAACAAACCATACAATAATAAGAGAAACAGGAGGAGGAATAGGAGGAGGAGGGGGAACAGGAACGGAGGAGGCGGAGGAGGAAGAGGAGGAGCAGGAGGAGCAGGAGGAGGAAGAGGAGAAATGAGAAGGAGGACAAGTAATAATAATAATAATAATGATAAGACTAGTACTAATAATAATACCACTACTAATAATACTAAGAATAAGAATTAGCATACTAATCATAATAATACTAACGATACTAGTAATAGTATTACTACTAATAATAATACTAATAATACTACTAATAATAAAATACATGACGATATTAATATTATTTTGGTGATTCATAGTTATATTATTAGTAGTAATACTAATATGAGCACGCGTAATAATACTACAAATGTTAATATTAATGCCAGTGCTAGTTATAACAATATGCTAATACTGCGGAAAAGTTTTGGATATCCTTTGTCGATGCGAGGCAATTCCCCGGTGGCTCGGCGGGGGCCATCTCGCAGGTGGTTCAGCTGATGAAGGACCGGGGGGTCCAGGGCGGCGCGCGCCAGGATAAGAGGGGACAAGGGGAGGAGCAGGAGGACAAATTGGAGAATGAGGAGGACAAGGAGGAGGAAGAATAGGGGAAGGGCGAAGGGGAAGGGCAGCGGCACGAGACTAGGAATCCCTCCCTCCGTCCGTCAATCCCCTCGTCCCTCCTTCCCGCCTCCTTCCACTCGACAAGCTTCCGCCCAAAGGCCTCATGATATCGTCGGATTCGCCATGGAGAGAGTGAATCTGGCAGGCGTCAGCGGCGCGCGGTGGCGGCAGCTGCAGCAGACAATCTCGCGAGGAGGCTCGCGAGCGAGAAGGCAGCGCTGACGGAGTGGCTGGGGTAGCTTAGGGCGGTGCCCGGCAGCGCTTTCGAGATCTCGACGCGATTCCAATTCGTGACCCCCGTCCTTGCGGTCGCGCTGTCGGGTTGTCTCCCGACCAAGCTGCAAGTTGCGAGGCGCAACATGGCCTCGCACGTCTTCCATTTCCCTGTGAGTGCCTTGGCTGAGGCATCAGAGACCGAGCTAAACTCCATCGAGAGGCGCTTCAAGGCTGGTGCCAGTGGTGCCGGAGCAGTCGTTGCGAACCGACGCGGTGGAGTTCGTGCCCGTCGCAGGCGCCGTCGTCCTCGTGATGGAGCACGTCGGCGTTCGGTTCACGTGCGGCGCCGTGGCGTTTTCGAGCATCCCGGATCCCTTCGGGGTGGTGTGCTGGAAGCTACTTGCCGCAGGCGGCGGCGCTGTTAGGGCCCCTACGGGGGACGACTGTGCTGCCGCTGGCGTCGCAGGCGCCGCCTCCGAAGAGGAAGTGGACGCTGATGCCAACCCCCAGGCCGACGCAGTGGCCATGTTCGACTCGTTATCCGACGACGTGCCCGACACGCCGCCAGACGCCGAGCCCAACACGTTCTTGCAGCTCCCTTTCGCGGTCGCGGCGGCCCAGGCTTTGGCTTCGCGCCAGGTGGCCCTCGTGACAGGGGCTGTCGCGCCGGTGTCGGTGGCGTCTTTCGGCGGGAGGCGGGAGGAGCGCGACGGCGGCGCGAAGCAGTGCGGCTCCACTTGCCCGCCCAGCGGGCGGCGGCGTGGCCAGCGCAGAGCGCGAGGCGCGGCGGCTGGCACGCCGCTGTCGAGCTGCTGGCTGGCGGCGGGGTGACCGCCTGCTCAGGCCCGAGGCCAGCGCGGCTCGCGAGGCGGCGACCGCCGACAGCATCGCGACGCCTCCTCCTCCTCCCCCTCCGCCTCCCCCTCCTCATCGAGCCGCAGTCAGCACCTGCGCCCACTCTCGGCCCGTATGCTTCGCCAAGTTCCTGGCTGCCGCTCCAGCACCCGAGCATCGGTGCAAGCAGCAATGATGCAGCTGAGAGTGCCGTGAGGGGGGGAGGAGGAGGAGGAGGAGGAGGAGGAGGAGGAGGAGGAGGAGGAGGAGGAGGAGGAGCAGGAGGAGGAGGAGGATCAAACTGCACAACAGCCACCGAACACGCCCAACAGCACAACAGCATCGCCAAAGATGCCCTCACCCACATTCACCGCCATGATCAAATTGTCACCATCACATATCTTCATACTCACCCATCACCACCTGCACCCACCAGACGAGGACATCAACTCCCAGCACCGGATACAAGCTATTCCATGGCGACAGCTAGCTCCGCAAACGCTGGCGACGCGATACACCTACTTCCCGACGATCGCCGTACAAACCATCGGAACACACCACGCAGCAGCATGACGAGGGGAACACCAGATACACATCTTCAACCGACGCATCATCTTCATCAACAAGGTTGGAGACCCCACGTTCCAGGAATTCATCGAGAGGTCACGCACGTACCAGACCCGCTACGAGATCTACCTCAACAGTGTAAGCGAACACACATCTGGAGCGCCATTCGGCGAGCCGCCGCCCAAGAACATGGTGACGGTACACGGTACACCGACCTCTACCAGTCCAGAGTGTACTGCAGACTACCGCAACATCCACAACAAGTACTTCATGTGGGCCAATTACCGCAGAAGGACCCCTACTGACCAGGTCGCACGGACATGCCAGCAGTCAGACAGTCTATACTGACCACTGACCTGCAATACACCTATCCTCCCTTTCCAGCGCGGCTCTTTGACACGCTGGTGGTACCCTATCTCACGCAGGTTCGGGCTTATCCTACAACACTTTGGGTAGCAGCCCTGGGAATGCATGTATTTCGCTCGTGTTACACGTTCTCTCTTCACCTCACCCTCTATCCTTTCGCACAAGCCATTCGCACACACGTTTGGAAGCAGCATATACAGCATACCTCCTCTTATGTCACCCTGACTATATTGTTTCCTGGGTTCTGATACAGCTTGCTTCCATCAGCAACCCCGAGTGACACCTTCATCAACTTAAGCTATGATGGTGGCTGGGTGGCAATAGGGGAGATGCACCTCTGCAGGTTTGGGGCTACCCTACAAAACTTGGGCAGCGGCCATATCATCGCACATTCTGTTACATAAGGATGCTCAGCATCTCTCAGCCTATTGAACTGCTGTTTCTTAATACTTATGGGGCCAGCCAACAAAACATGTGCCAGCCACTCACACATGCTCCTTTTTTTCCAGACTCAGTCAAGTTTCGATGTATCGCACATGCAGCCTCGGACACAGTCAGACAGCAGCATTTTGGCGTCAGTCGCTTTTGTCAGTGCACATCGATGGCTGGCTGTATACTCCCAGCCCCAGTGTACCAGCAGCTCCTCAGCAGCATTGTTTCACTACCGCGCAGCAGGCAAACAGCAACCACTACCCATCATATCTGCAGGTTCCGCGTTTTCCTAAAAACACTGGATACCAGCCCCAAGATTGCACAGCATCTCCCAACCTAGCGTGCTGCTGTTTCTTCTTACAGCTAGGCACTCAAGGCCTGTACTCTGGCGACGCTACGCCACATTGCGCACGCAGTTTTGGGCACGGCCAGGCAGCAGCACCTTGACGACAATGTGCCAATGTTTCAGGTCCCACAGGGAATCAATGAGTACGCATCGTTGGCTGTATGCCCCCAGCCCCAGTGTACTAGCAGTTCCGCAGCACTTTTACCATTGCGCAGCAGTCAGACAGCAAGCCCACATTCATTTGTTATAGGACTCTACGTGAGCAGTCTGGCCGTGTATAACGTCTTTGTAGCGCCCAACCACAGATAGGGCTCTCACCTTAAAGGCCAGCCTTAAAACGCCAGCCTGCGTCACCATCACAGGTCGGTCAGTTGACTATTGGGTTCGTGTTAAACTCGAAATTAATCACGCAAAAAGCACGCGGGTCCCAGTACCGATGTGGCTAGGGGTAAACCCAGACACCCATGGGCGGCAACCCTAGAATTGCCATGCGTTCGCGCTTCTGTGCCGCAAGACAACTTAGGTGACTGCGGAGGTCGGGTTATTGGGCAGTAATAACTTGTTATTGCAAGTCATAAGTCGACGCCCCCAGGCGGGAGTGTCCCGCCGTCGGCGCACCGCGCGATGGCGGGCGCCCGCGTGTCCACCCGCCACGCGCCGCCGCTGCGTCGGGCGGGCCAGGCCCGCGCGGGCATGCTGGCGTGCCGCGCGGCCGTGCGTCGGGGTCCTTCCTCCCTCCGCTCCTCCGTGCACGGTCGCGATGTCTCCTCGTTGCCGCCTGGCCGCGGGGCGGGATATCAAGTACCCGGTCATGTCTGCAGCGCCCCGCCTGCCTGTGGGGCGGCTGGCCGGGGTGTGGTTTTCTGTCTGCCAGTGCGCGGCTCTGGACCAACCCTGGGGGCGACGCGCGGGGCGCCCGTTCGCCAGAGTGCGTCGGACGCGACCGCGGTCGCGCTTCTTTTCTGGCCCAGTGTTGCCCCTCGTGGGTGTCGTTGTCTAGGGCTTTTCCCTGCGGGTCCTGTGTCCCTTGGTTCACCTCGGGCCAACACCGCTGGTCCTTGGTGACCTACGCGTTGTTTCTCCACCCTGGCGGAGTCTGTTTCACGGCCCTGAGGGGTCACGGCATTGCTATCAAGCCCAGAGTGGCCTCTTACGTCGGCCCAGTGTGACCAACGTACCCATAGGGTCCCCCCTCGCGGGTCCAGAGCGACCCTCGTCTGGCGGCCCAGAGTGGCCATTCAGTAGCAGGGCAGCCGATGCCAGCCCGCATGTCTGGCGGCCCTAGAGCGGCCAATCTTCGATAGGGCGGCCGTTGCGGCTTGCTGACTGCCAGCAGACCCGCGCGTCTCGCTTGGAGGCCCATAGTGGCCAATCGTTGCAAACGTTTCTTTCGCATTCCCAGTGAACAGTCGAGCGCGAGACTCGCAGCGCGCCAGACTCGCAGCGCAAAGGCAGCGAACTCCCGCCGTCGGTCGACGGTTTTTGCTTTGGCTGCCGCAGGTTCGCAGCGGCTCCGAATGTCGGGTGAAGTCAGCGGCTTCTGCTTGCTTGCGATGGCGGAGCTGGCTGCGCAGGCGGCGCTCGTGCCGTTCGAGGCGAAAACAGAAAGGGGCTCCTTGGTGCGCACCGCATCCCGCGCGCGGGTCGCGTACGCAGACACAGTGTTGTCGCAGGCGCGCGAGCGGCTTCGCTACCTGCTGGTTAAGGGGGCGGGCCCCAGGCTGCAGGGGCGAGCGCCAAGGGGCCCGCCCCTAGCAATGCCGGCGCCACCTGCCAACGAGAGCTGCTGGCCGCCAGTCCGACTCGGAGCAGTCGGCCCTCGGTTAGTGAGGCTGGAGCAGGTGCGGGCTGAACTGCGCTTCGCCCTAGCCCAATGCGCACCGCGTTTGCCGCGCGACGTCTGCCATATCATTTTGGGCGACGCTGAGCCCCAGATCGTCTCTGCGCCCGTGATACGCTACCGTCTCATGGACAATCCAGACAGCGGCGATGAAGCGCACTTCCGCCGGGCAAAGCTGCGAGTGCGCCCGCCGGCGCGGGTCGCGGGCGCCCAGGGCGGCGCACGCGACCACAACGCTTTTAACAAACGCGCGCGCTCGTGCCGTGCGTGTCGTCCCAGCGTGGATTTGCGCGCTCCCTCCCGCAACTGGAGGCCGCATAAGGGTCGCTGCGCGGGCTACTAAGTACGCCGTGTAGCGATGTCGTCTGACGACGAGGTGCCGTCAAGGCAGCCCGCCTCATGTCGCGAGACGTGTCACATTGGCCCTTCCGCGTGTTCTTATTGTCGCGTGTGCGGGCGGCGGGAGCATCCAGCCCCCCAGCGCGATCGCAGCAGATCGTCGCCACGGAGGCGCACATCTGCCGCAGGGCCCTCAGGCAGCCCCTCGATGGAGCTGACGGCCACGGTGCCGCTTGGGCCGTGTGCACGAAGCGCGAGGATCGACCAGCTGGCCAGCGCCTGCCCGCTCGGTAAGACGCGTGACCCGCGCTCACGGCCATAAGCGGACCAGGTTTCCGCAGGCATCTCGCGTTGCGTTCCCGGCGCCGCCGTTCCTCCTCCGCGTTCGGGGTGCGCGCGTTCGTTTTGCGTCTGCGAAGCGGCGGACCAGGTATCTGCAGGCACCTCGCTCGTGTTGCTACCGGCGTCGCCGTCTTTCTGTGCGCGTGTTGAGTGCGCTGCGTTGCAGTCGGCCCGCCGCGTGATCCCCGCGCGTGCGAGCAGTGCGACGCTGGTGTTTTCTGGCTTCTTTGTTCGTGATGGCGGACGGACCGCTGCTGAGCTTTCTGCGCCAAGACTCCGTGTTCGGGGCAGAATGGTCGGACATCGAATACAAGGCTGCGGTTGACTGCCCAGGCGCTAATAAGCTGCTGACGCCGGCACAGCTGGCGAACATTCGGCTAGAAGAGCTGTCAGGCTCGGAGGGCCTGCCAGCGGGCGTGAAAGGCGTGCTCCGCCGCGCGCTGGAACTGCGGGTAAGCAGGTAGCGTGCGCGAGCGCGCCCGGCGAGCCCCCCTGGTCTGCACGCTCGCATCGGTGCGGAGGCCAATGTGGAAATGGCCGCCCCCGTACGCCACGTAGACGTGGGCGCTGAGTTGGCGACGATTACGTTGAACGGCCTCAGCCGGACGATCTGGCCGAGGCGCGCCCTCACGTGAGCGCGCCAGCGGCGGTGACAGCGGTCGCTGCCTTGCACAGGAGCGAGATGTGTGATTGGACGGCTGCCGAGGTCGTGCGCGCGAGAAAGAGGGGCTGCGCGAATCTTTTCGTTTACTCTGATTTGCGCGGCTTTCTCCCGACCTGGGCCGCGAGCGCCCGCGGGGTC